AATAATTGCCCCAAATCTCCATCGTGCGCCGAGCCCGGCGTGACATGAAACACCCCTCCACCACCCTCCCCCGCCTCGGTCGCTTGGGCTCCCTTGCCTGGTCGCTTCGCGACCCGAGCAGGGGCGTGTACGAGGGGGGCGGGGGGGTCCATGGCGAGTCCGGATACCCACCTTGTTCTCGCGCAGAAAACGCCATCGTGAGTGGTGTAATTAATTTAAAAATTTTCTGGTGGAGAGGCCCCCAGACCCCCCCTTCGCGGTGCTCGCCAACTTCTGGGTTACTGGTAGACCCCCCCGCTGGGCTACAAATCCTGTTACACACTCTCCCTCCGCCGGCAAATTGCCACATGAAATACGAACCCCCCCCCCAAAAAAAAAAAAAATAAAAAAAAAAAAATTACCCCACCCCCCCAATACAAAGCTGGCTACGGGCCTGATATGGTAGTAACTATATACTAGTTGTGTTGTGTGAGAAGACAAGGATGATTGCAGGGAAGCTGCGTTAAGCTGCGGCATCATCGCCAGCATCTGCATCATCATTAGCTCATGCTCACGCTCTTCCCTCCTCGCCCGCTCCTCCTCCCTCCTCGCCCGCTCCTCCTCCCTCCTCGCTCGCTCCTCCTCCTTCCTCGCTCGCTCCTCGCCCACTCGCAACCTGCAGAGTTCAGACTGCTGTTCAACTGCTGCTGCACAGATCCAGATACCACTTCGCGTATTCGTTAGAATTATCTATGAAGGTTCCCAGCAGATCCTTAAGGTCTGACTCGGGTTGCGGCCCGCCTAAATGAAACACGTGCGAGCAAACTCAAACAACGCTTTTATTGTTCATTCACAGTTTATTTACGACAGTGTATCGACCCGACGTGTGTTTATTATTTATATTGCTAAGATTTTTTCTCCACGGGAAAGACTGTATTCATTACGTGTGCTTTTATTTTAATTATATGCAATAAAGATTTAATAATAAACAATAATTAAAGTTTACAACAATAATTAACTGTTTTCCGATCCTTTCTACTGTGTGTTATTTAGTCTGATGACGATTTATTTCGGACAGCGCCCTAGATACTTGAACATGATGTCTCTACGTGAAACAACTAATAGTTCTGTGTTCCTCTACTGTTTATATTGTTTACGCGTACTAGTCACATGCAAGCCGCTCCAAAAGCGTATTATGTAAGTTTATTATACATAACACGTACATAACAGTATACCACACACACACTCGTGTACGTGATTTGTCAATGTAACCACGAACATAATATGATCTACAGTATGTATGAGTATGGATGTGTTAGTGATCATTACTCACGTGTTTTGCGACGCATTCGCTGTAGCTTTGCTGCGATCCATGGCAGTTGCTTTGCCTGATGGGTGGGGCAAATAGCTGCTCCTTCATATCCCCCGTCTACTCAGATTTCTACGTTCCCGAAATCACTAAACAATCTTGAATCTCTTCACACTCACTGCCTTCAAAACCTATATGAAATAATTTTAAGTAAATTTAGATAATTTCACTATACAATTTAATTGAATACACATCAAATTCATTAAAGAGAGCAAGACCGGTTGTTGAAACTCATGATAACAGGTGATACAGACTGACACTGGATCATATATATGCCACTTCAAAAACGTTTGCAAAATCGAGCAAAGTTACTTGCCTTTAAAAATATATAATAATAATATTGGCTATGATATACTAAATAATAGACTCATACAGACATGTTTATTTATACATTAGATTTGATTTTGACATTTCTATGGAGAATCATTGACGGGCTGCAGAAGTGCTAAGAGCAAATTAAGGTATTTGTTAATATACTGTTACATAACACCCTGAAATGGGAAAACTATTCTAAACAAATTTGCTCCCTCCCTGCTTCTCGATGGTTCCTGTAACGTTACACTGTAAGGAAATGTGGGGCTTATCTCAGCTATGCAACTCTAACTAAACTTTTCATTAGATTATCCATCATATTTTTAGTCAGAAAAGCTAACAAACCTCTACGTTTCATAAATGTGCTCTTAAGCTCTTAATAACTTAAAAATTATATTATATTAAGTACGTACTTAATCAATTGCCTGTCATGTGTTTCCTCATTGTTATTGATAGGAAAAATCTTTGCAGTGGGAATTGTTGTCTAGGAGCACAGCACTCGACGCCCCCTGGTGAGACCATGACTCTCTACAACAAGCTTAGCGCCCCCTGGTGAGACCGCAGCACTCTACATCAAGCTTAGCGCCCCTTGGTGAGACCGCACCACTCTACATCAAGCTTAGCGCCCCCTGGTGAGACCACACTACGCTACATCAAGCTCGTCGCCCCCTGGTGAAACTGCACCACTCTACATCAATCTTAGCACCCCCTGGTGATACCATGACTCTCTATATCAAGCTTAGCGCTCCCTGGTAAGACCATGACTCTCTACATCAAGCTTAGCGCCCCCTAGTGAGACCATGACTCTCTATTTCAAGCTAGTTGCCCCCTGGTGAGACCTGACTCTCTACATCAAGCTCGCCGCCCCTTGGTGAGACTGCACCCACTCTACATCAAGCTTAGCGCCTCTTGGTGAGACCATGACTCCCTACATCAAGCTCGTCGCCCCTTGGTGAGACCATGACTCTCTACATCAAGCTTAGCGCCTCTTGGTGAGACCATGACTCCCTACATCAAGCTCGTCGCCCCTTGGTGAGACCATGACTCTCTACATCAAGCTTAGCGCCTCTTGGTGAGACCATGACTCCCTACATCAAGCTCGTCGCCCCTTGGTGAGACCATGACTCTCTACATCAAGCTTAGCGCCTCTTGGTGAGACCGCACCA